GATGGCAGGTTAGGACAGCTCTTTTGAGAGTGTTATGGGCATCACAGGTGGTTGTGAAGACCATGTTTCTCTGCAGGTCTCTGTCAGTGATCTGGGCTCAGATGAGATGAGTTGAGTTGATGCCAGTCAGAGCAAGCTGTGTGGTGTGATTCATCTTGGATGCAAACACCTGGGGTTCAGTTCAGTTCAGTTCCCCACATGAAGGCACATAGTGTTCTTTAAAAATAATCTGGGCTACCTGCCAGGCATCTAGCTACTGGTCCAGAATGGCCAACATCTCCTGCAGGTGCTGACCAGTGCCCACCATGCCAGTACCCATCATCATTGAGCTGGAAGCTGACAATTGTGATTTGCACTTATAACTTGATTGTCCTTGAATTTTGCAATGTGCCAACTTTGGAAAGTGGCAGAAAACCTCTGACAGGGTGAGCCATGATAATTCATGCCCTGACAATGGTAGACACTGCTTTCCTTTTTTTCCAGCTCAGTTGGAAGAAGAAGAAGAAGCAGGGAAGGTAATATTTCAAAGGGCTGTGCAGAGAGAGTTTGCTCTTGGTAGTCTCAAGCATAGAGGGGGGCAGCTGGTAGTAGCTGCCAACTCCTGGACATCAGTGTGTTCATTTCAATGACAGTCAAGAGGCTCCTTTCAACATTTTAGGTAATTTAATCATTGTTTATAGAAACCAAGAGCCTTCCCAGAGCACAGTGGCTTTGATGTAGATGCCCCAGGCTTCACATTAACTCCGTGTTTTACAAGGTTCTCTTGTGGGGCACTAAACTTTTCAGGAATTTTGCAGGTTGTACCTGTGTATTGCACACACTAAATGGCTGTTCTTTGGAGATGGTCATGGGCCCTATAGAAGTCATCTTTACAAAACAGATTGAAAATCTCTGCTCCCCTTGCAGCAGACTGAAGCTCCTAGTCATACCGAGATGTTTGCAATGGTGTGATAGATTCCTACCACTTTAATGGGAATCTTCCCAAGGTTTTCCTTTGTCCTCCCCCAAGCTTTCTGTAGATTGTCCATGGTAGGAGATGACCAGCAGAAAAATTCTAAGCATTGTGTTCATCCATTTAGCAGAGTTTGGGTGCTCCAGTCTTACTGGAAGAGTAAGGTTTGCCCTGTGATTCATCCAGGGTTGTCCTCATAACAACTATGTAAGACAGAGGAGTAATCCCATTGTTCCTGCAGTGCTGTCCACCTATGTCAATACAATCTTTGATGTCAACACAGTCTTTGATGTCAACCAGATGACCTGTGTTGTATTCCTGCATGATCAGTCACTCTGAGGGAAGCTTCAGAATGCTGATCTCCTGAACACATTGTTACTGCCCCATCATTCACCCCACCTGCCTTTGAACCCTATGGGGCAAAGCTAGCAAGGTGGATGAAGAGGAAAGGAGACTTCAGTGTCACGCAAGGAGATGCTGAATGTTTTGCCACTGGGAGGCCAACAGCTCTTGGCACTGCTATTTTGTCAGGTATTGAAGTCTGTGTCAGCATAGCATAAGGACAGTGACAATTGTGAGTTCAACATAGGAAGGTATGGGACTGGGAGTCAGTGAATAAATAATCTCTGAACCCTGTTCTCACAATGACTGTGTGTGATCTGGGGGCATCCCATGTCACTGGATTTATGTTTATTGACCTTTTTCTTGGGGTTTTTTTGGTCTTCCAGCTACGATCTGTCTCTAAGTGTATATATACATGGAATGCTTAGCACAGCTAAATCCTGATCTCCACTATGGATTACTGGCATTTAAATAATAAAGGCACAGCTTGAGATTACTCTTATAGAGACTCTGACTCTTAGTTCTCCTCAGTGTTTGAGTCCTGAAACCAGGACATTGGTATGGTTTCTGTCCCAGGGACAAACATCATTCTTTTCCTTGTACATCGGGCTAAGGAAGGTCCAAGAGGGCTAACACACAGCGAGGCTGGGCAGTGAGCAAGGAGGAGAAAGATCTCCAAAGAGGCCAAGCATGGGATAGCCTTTATATCTTGGTAGGGGCTTCCTCTCTGCCACCAAAATTCCCTGAAAAGCCTTAACCAAAGACAGCTCAAAGCATCTTTATCCATCTGGAATATGTTCTCAGGAGGGATGATCTGATGAGGCTCTCAGCACTGGAGCTGTTGAGGTGTGCAGGGACCATGCAGAGCATGCCACTGCTCAAGATGTCCTGGGCATCTCCCACCTACCACTCCCAAGCACTAATTATCCAATACTCTTGACAGCTTTGAACACACATCCAGGTCTTTGCTCCTCTGAATTTCTTGTATCAACTGAAATAAAGCTGACACAGGACATGGAGGGTCTTTCTTCTCCCAGTGACAGCAGAGCAGTGGCAGTAGGAAGCAAGGTTTTCCATCTGAACTCTGTTTTGGTGAATGGCTGAAAAATCATGGATTCTGGCAAAGGCAGATGGCAGTCAGCAGGGATGAGATCTTCCTGTATCTCATAGATGGAATAATCTAGCTGAGTTTTTAATAACACTGAAGACCAGAGATGATGAGCACTGACTGCTACCAAAGACATTAACACAAGAGGGTGTTTCTCTGAGGTATAAAGCTTGGGAGAAGGCCTACTGTTTAGCAGCAACATGTTTATTCTAGCAAATCACATCTGTAACTAGTTTAGTTTCTATGGTACTGAAAAATTCCTTGTAAGTACAGAAATTGTTATAGACTGCAAAGACCCCAGGATGTTGAGACTGTTTCCTTGGAGAATTGTAGGACGTGGTAGAGTGTAGATCAAAGTTATCTGGTTTGGAAAGAAAGAAAGAAATCGGCCCGAAACAATCCAAATTTGGTGAATGAGCGTGTATTGTAAAATCAGTAATTCTGGATGTCTGAAAATGTTTTGTCTTCTTTCTTCTTCCTGGATAAGTCAATTTCCTTGGATCTGCTCTTCACTCAAACCATATTTGAAACCATGATTTAAAATATTTGGTCATGATTAATGAAGGCTAAAGAATAAATGCCTTCCCAATGAGGCCCCGGTCTTGTCTTCCTGGAATAATGACAATAAACAGCCTGTTTCAATGTGCCATGCTGCTGGAATTATGATTTAACTCAGTCAAGGAGTCATCTAGCACTCATGATGTGAAAAATCCAAAGAATTTTAGCCACACACTCTTCAAACTCACAGTGGTGACCAGGTGTATTTGATAGAAAGCAGGAGACATTGAGGGAATTCCTGTATTACAAACACTGAATCAGTTCTTGCTTTATTTCATTACTATATATTTTTAATTAAAGATGACAGACTGCTTAGGAAAGGGAGAGGAAAGACAAAATAAAACAGAAATAAAGAGAAATAGAAAAGAAGAAGAATCCTATTCATATTCTGCTTCTTCTTAATCTCCTTCGCTGAAGCTGATCTCTGTAAATCTGCTGAGATTCCTATCGGGATATATTTGTCTGCTCTTGAGATGTAAGAGGGAGAGCTGATTAACATCAAACGACACAAAGCGAATGGAGGAGAGCTTTGTTCAGGCTGCTGTATAATTACTACCCTTTGCTGGCTGCTTTATATCAAGCCTAAAAGGATCGGAGGGATTTCCTTTGGTGAAACTGATCACTCTGTGTCTGCATTTTTTTTCCTTTTGCTTATTCTCTCCGTGTGAGATCAGACCTTCAAAATGCTAGACAACACCACATAATAAAAAAGAAACACTATGATGCTGATTTAACAGGAAAGTCACATTTTCAATATGCAAAATTAAATTGTGGTCTTATTTAGGAATAAGACTTGGATTCAATCAAAGCTCAGCTCTGGACTTAATGTAGAAAAGGAGGCATGTCCAGTGTCAGCCCACCTGAGCTAAGATCTAAGGCAGGTCAAGGGACTAACATTGACTGGACACAACTCTCAAAGCTAGCTACAACTGAAATGAATGTCCCTCAATTGAAGATGCAAATAAAACAATCTGATAAATTCAGAGCATCTTCTGACACTCATAAAATTTGGGGTTGGGTTTTCTGAGAACAAAGACATGGGAAATAAAGAAATTACAAGGATCATTAAAGTCTTGAAAAATGTTCTTCATCCTGTAGAGACTTAGAAGCTCAGTGGATTTAGTGTATCCAGGAAAAAGTGGAGGCCCACAAACACACTAAGAAGAGACATCTAATGCTTTTTAATTGAAGCTCTTTAATCAAGTGGGAGAAGGGTGTAATCTCAGAGTGGAAGCTAAAGCTGGACATATGCAATGTATATCTGTCACCACACAGACAATTACATTTTGAAGCAAATGACTCAGTGACAGGGATTAATTTTCTTTCCCTTGAAATCTTTAAATCAAATTCATTTTTCTTTGACTTGTGCTTGCTCAAGAGGAATGGCTGCATTAGCTCTAGAGAAGACCTAATAGATACCTCCACTGTGTACCTCTAACATATTCCTTGATGCTGAAATCTTAATTGGAGAAGCAGATTGATTGATTTGTTTGTTTGTTTGTTTATTTGTTTATTTTTCTAGTGAGGATTCTTCTAGAGAAGATCCTTGCAATGTAGCCTCATGAAAACTAATTTTTCTGTCAGTAGCAGAAGGCCCCCAACCTTGAACTCATCCAACATCACAGGGCCTCAGGATGTCTCTGGGCTTGCTATGCTCTGAGCTGGGTGTCTCTGTGTTCACAAGTATCCCGTGGTCAAGGACTAGTGCCCAACCTGCCTGAGCTCAGCACTGGGGATACTTTACTTGGCCAAGGGCTGCTGTCCCAGGCAGGCACTGCCCAGCAAACACCAGCCCTTTGTCGCTCTGCCACCAGTGCTGGGGACAAGGAATGGATCAGCTGATGGGGAGAGGGAGGATCAAAATACCACCAGGGTGTCCTAAAAGTCAGGAGGAAGAAACCCCACCATGAACACACACAATCTTCTGAGAGAATTGCTCAGAGTAGTGACAACTTGCAGTGACACCCCCACCTCCTGCTAGTGGAGGTTTCAAGGCTGGGCATCACTCCAGGGAAAAGGAGTAGATACTAGGAAGTATTTTGTCTAACAGAACAAATTGTCCATATCTGTTGCCTTGACATTCACAGACATATTCATGACACAAAGTCATGACACAAAGTTGTCTTCTAATGCTCCCAGACCTCACCTCATTCAAGCAATGGCAAAGGATTGGCACTGTCAGACTACCTACAATGAGTACAGGTGATTTCAGAGAACAGGCAATGCCTTTGGGGAGCTGGAGGTGCTCTGGGCATGAGACAGGGCACAAAGGAAGTAACTTGGAAACAGCCATCTTTCCAAACATGCTTTGCAAGCAGATGCTTCAGCCACAAACTTTGCTGTGTTAGGGGATGTGACTAGTCAGTCTTCAGCAGGGTTAACCTGCTGGATTGCAAAAACAAATTGTCCCAGAGTGTCAGCATGCCCATCACTGGCTTCCTTTTTCTAAATCCCCTTTTGCTAGAAGAGGCTGGGCAAGCCCATAGGAAGGTATGTACAGAGCACTCACCAGTGTCTTGTAATCAATCTGCTGTCGTATGAGCTTGTCCTCACTCAGTGAGTACCGGGCCTCCCCAGTGATTGAGTCGATGGGACCCTTTTCCATCTGCTGTTTGATGGCACAGAAGAGGGAGAAAAGAGGTTCTCCAGCACACTCCTGCAGGAATGAGAGACAACCGTGAGGTGAAACAAGAGGAGCAGATGTGTGAACCCAACCTACATAACCGTGGCTTGTCATCCCCAACCACTCAAAGCAGATGCATCAGTGGAAATCAGTTTATTCCATACAGCTGAGGAACATAGGTGATCCTCCACTTCCACAAAGTGCAACAAACACTCTCGAGTGTCCTGTCATGGGACAAAGGTGTCAATGTTCCATGGCAATGTTTAGGCTAGCAAAGCTTTGTAGGAGCTGCTCAACTGATTGCTTCCAGGTCAGAGCTTTGCACTGGAGCATGTGGTGATGTGTTCTGGAGGATGTGGAGACAGGTTTGAAAGGGAGATGGACTACTGGTGCTCCATTCTGGGTGTCTGGGCAGAGCCCACAGTCTCTTTGAGTGCTCTCATGCTGGAATCAAATAGGTGTACTCATGCAGAAGCAGCTCCATGACCCAGAGGAGAAGTACCCTTGGACCTGTAAAGTTACACCAATGATGTCAGGTGTGTGGGTCTCACAGCAACAAGTAGCCCACAGGCAAAGCATAGAATCATAGAATCTCCTGGTTGGAAAAGACCTCTGAGATCATCAAGTCCAATCATACCTGACCACTACTAAACCATATCTCTGAGCACCCCTTTTAGACATCTTGTAAACACCTCCAAGGATGGTGACTCAACCCCCTCCCTAGGCAGCCATTCCATTGTCTGATAACCCTTTCAGTGAAGAAGTACTTCCTGACATCCAATCTGTACCTCCTCTGGTGTAACGTAAGGCCATTGCTGCATCCCTCTCCCTAATTTCTCCTTCCCATCATCTGATCATTTGCACTCACTACACTCCTCACATTTTTTCCTGGCCTCTCCTCCCTTACTGTCCTCCCCCCACACATTCACAGTCACGCAGCCCTCCTCATACTTTCTTCTATTGCTTCCCTTCCCTTTCATCTCTCCATCCTCCCTCCCCTCCTCCCCACCTTGCCCTCCCCTCTTGCCTTGTGTCCCAACTCAATGAGCGAGGTCATTTTCCTCTGGTGTAAATCCTGGCAAAAACAAGTTAATAATCTGAAGCAAAGTGGGTCCTTTCTCAGTTCCTACACCTGTCTCCCACTTAATTAGCTTATCTACCAGCAGCAGATTGCTTCTGTGTGCCTGTCTCTTGCCCTTATCAGGCCTCTGTTCAGGCTAAGGTAAGAAGACAAGTAGCTGAGTGGGGGGAAAAAAGCCTATTATAAAAGCAACGCTTTAGAGAGTCACCTCCTTATATCCTTTCTTTTCAACTGAAAGAGAATCTGATACTGAAAGTCACTGAAATTACCTTCCAGGGACCTTCAAAACTTTCCCATGTGTTCATCCTTGGACTGATTGTGTCTGGGGAAGGCTTAGGGACATGGGATTGGTTTGTAAAGCCTTGAATTGCCAGGCAGATAGGGTGGCTATTCTGTCCAGATGGGGCTGTAAGGTATAAGGATATCTAACAACTGCATTGGGAGTGGAGGAGAGGTGCAGCTCCTTCCAAAAAGGCTGGCTTTGAGTTTGGTGCCTTGACAATCAGCATTCTTGAGGCTCAATGTGGGTCCTTAAGAGGAAACTGCCATCATCCAGAAGTCAGTGACAGGTCTCAAAGGCTGAAAGACTCTTTTTTTTTTTACTACATACCACCCCAAGGAGACCCTCCAGGAGGAACAAGAGGGCTCAGGAGGTGAAGACAGCCTAACGCCAAGAAGAGCTTGGTCTCAGGCCTAAATTAAACTACGCAGAGTCTGATTATAGTGTGCATAAAGAAGATAGGTATGATGGAGGCACTGCATATGATGGAAGCAATGGGCCTCAGTACTGCCTCTGAACTAAGGTGGGAGATCTCCAGCACTGAAAATATGGGTCACCATGTGATGAGGATCTGAATCTGCTACTAAAAGGAGAGAATTTTCAGTATAGGAATCCATCAGGCTCTGAAATTCTTCATGTTTCAGCATTGACCCTTAGATCCCACCTTTGTATAGGAGTAAGACCAACAGCTGCCTCTCTAAAAAAGTGTCCCTCTTTGTTCTCCCTGGATCAGGAAACAGTCCCTCTCCCATGAGGTAGTGAGCTCTCTCCAGAGAAAAAAGCCTTTTTCTTTCTATCAGGGAAGTTTTTGCCCCAACTAAACATCATTAAGAAGAAATGTATTAAAGCAGCTGTTCATCCAGGCATGTTGCCCTCCTTACCTTGAGGAACTTGTACAGAAGGAAGGTGAACCAGTTGGTGAGCATTTTCTCAGCCACAGACTCTGTCCTAAAATTAACCAAGGAGAAAAAGGAAAATTGGAAATGAGTTAGTCATGCTGGTCATATTAAAGAGCTAGTAAAAAAAATTGGCTTTGTCCATCTTACTGCCCAGATCTCTCGGCCCCATGGAAAGTCTGGCATGATACCATCAGGATTAAGCGCATCCAAGATTATCTGTTTTAGCTTTGGATTTAGGAAACCTGCAAGCAAAACCTTACTGTCCTGTTGATTCTCCTGTGGCTAGGGAAGTCTCTGTACATCTGTTTTTTTGTTTCTCCATCAATGAAAGGGAGGGGAGGTGACAACATTTGAGGGAACCTTCTCAGAGGAACTCGGGGAGGATAAATCCATCAAATATGAAGAGCTCAGAGTTAGGCCATATGACAAATAGGCTATATAAATACTTAAGACAGACAGATCTAAATCACTAGAGAATAGTTATCTGGCACTGACTATGTCCCTGACATTTGGGTGTGATTATACTCCTCAGTGTGTCAATGTGGTTCACTCATAAAACTCATCCTTTTACCCTTGAACACTCTGTCTTCAACAAGCAAAAATTCATCTTGAGTCTTCAAGTTGAACTCTCCCTACACAAGGACCAACTCAGACCTAAAAATGTGGTGTGGACACCAGAAGCCCAGGATAAACCTGTATTGGCTCCAGTACATGCAGTGGTGTTGCTCAAGAAGAAAGCAAGAGTCCCTGCTTGGATGAATTAAAGTTGGTCTTCCTTGTCCTGGCTATCACCAAGGTTGCGCAGGAGTTCTCGCTTGGTTCCTTGGTCTTTCAGCATAACTTTGATCTTTCTTCCTCTGAAACGTATAATTTGAGAGGGGAAAGGTTTGCACCCTTGGAGATATATGTGTGGAATCAGTCCACGACCTTGCCTGAAAGCAGTGCCCTGTTACACCAACACAGAGCTAGCAACAGTCCCTTCCATAGCTAAATGCAAGTTGGTCTTTAGCCTGGTTTCCATAGAGATTTCTGTTCTTCTGGGCAAATCTCACTTAGATGGTGGGGATGGTGGGTAGAGGAATGATAAGGTGTTTTCTGTCACTCCCCTTTTCTTGTCTGCAACCAGGGAAGGAGTTGATATGGTGCCAATTTAATGCTGTGTTTCCTTTGTCTACAGTGATCATTGCTGTGTTTCTGCCTAAAGACTGTTTCTGTTCAAATTGGCCTGTTTGTCCTACATTCACCTTGGTCAACATTGTCTAGTTGCTGTCCTTCATTGGTCATGATATGATGTTCAATTCCAGAAATGCCCATGCTTATCATGGTCTGAGCTCTTTGCAGGGAACATTGCCCAGAAGAGTTCTCTTTCTGATGCTCCCTAGTGTGACACCTGGAATTAATCATAGGGTGCAAACTTAACATTACGATGAGAAAAAGAACTGAAATCACATTGTGGTGTTGCTCTCTGCCCTGACAACTTCCATCTCTTTGAGGCTATTATGTAGGATGAACACTGGACACAGGTGAGATGGGAAAATCATTCCAGCCAGCTCCCTCCTCCTGTGAAACACTCCCAAAACGAACACTGCAGATAGGTGTTGGAAGATTCCTTTCCATCCACAGACTCATAGGGAGGGAGAGGAAACATCAAGTTGAATCCAGCTGTTCCAAATAATTATCTGAGGGCTTCACACCAACATCTGACCCAAGGCACTGAGCAATTCACATGTTCAATACTAGACTCTGTTCTGGTGCTGCTCAGTGCAGGACCTCCATCTCAGAGAACAAACCACATCTCCGACTTCTCTCTGTATTTTTAGAGCTTGGAATAGTGAAGGTGACTTCTTTGTTCACTGGCTCTTCTTCCAAAGGCCATAGTTCATTTCCAACAAAGAGGAGTTAGAAAAGAGCTGTAGGAAGGAGAAAGAGGAAAGATGGGTTGCAAAGGACAAGACAGGAATGAAAAACTGGGAAGATGAAGAGGTGGATAAAGGGGGAAAATCAGAAATGGAGAAAGGGGGAAAATAGGAAACAAATAAAGGGAGGAGACAGCTGGAAGGAGGCAGTGCCATCCAGCATCAGAGGAGAAGTACAGAGAGGGAGCCTGGGGACAACTGAAGGGAGGTCACCAGCCAGACTGTAGGGTTTGAATCACATCAGAGAGTCAACTGACACCAAAGTAAAGTTCAGTCTCTGCCCTTGGCACTGCTGCCTTCTGCTCCCTTTTCTGATGGTTCTCCATAGTGGGCTGTGTGACAGATGAATAACCTCCCAGCAGGCACCACTGATCTCTTCCTTGCCCAAGCCGTCCATCGTAATCAACTGAGGGCTCTTCAAAGTTGGCTCTGAGTAGTGGCAAAGGCCATTCATCTCCAGAAGACACCCCCTGATTTTACTTAGAGTCTTTGAATCAGAAGGATTGGTTCAGACTGTGAAAAGGAGACGAATGTGATCCTAAGGGGAGAAGAAGCAGCGTTTCCCTAGGCAGGGAAAGCACATCAATTACAGAGCAGTAGATTTCTAATTCAAGGGTTCCCACAGAATTGTGGAATTTAGACCTTAGACCTGGCCAAGGAGCACCAATCCAAACTTGTGCTCTGTATGAAACCAGTTCTGTTCTGCTCAGCTTTTCTACTATCTTCAACAAGCTCCCTGCACCATTGCTCAGGTTCAGAGAGGAGATTCCACAATACAGCTGAAGAAGTTTCTCCATGTGTCTGTTGTTAACTCGTGAATAAGAAACAAAGTAGGGAAGTCCACGTTCCAGGCAGGAGACATCAGCAGATGATTTACTCACCAGAGATACAATGCAGCCTGTTCTATGTGATACACTTATAGGTCCTAGAGAATGCAATCAAAGTTTTCAGGGTAAAAGGAAACGTAAGCAGGAACGAACACCTTAAGCACACAAAGAGTCCAAAATAAGCATTAGGAAGCATGAGCTTTTGCTGCCCTTATGAAGTTTTCTGGAAGATCCACATTAAAATCCAGAGGTAGTTTAGTTGTGTAACTTTTAATCATTGACTACTTTTTGGTTAGGGAGAAGATAGAGCAAGATCTACAGACACACTTGCTGAAAGGGAAGGAAATGCAGAGAGGATGTTGGGAAGAAAAGCAGAGTGCTCTAAGAGAAGACATGTTGTGTCAGGAAGTCTTAAATGAGCAGGAAACCGAAGGGAGAGCGATTCAGTCTTCATCCAGCGCTACTTGCCTTATTCAAACCTCTCTTCACTACAGCCCTACGAGGTCACTCATGTGAACTGCATCTGTATATCATCCTGATTTCAAACCCTGCTACACAAACAAAAATCAAGCAAATTTGCCCCTTTCCTTCAAAGCTGACTAACGTGCTTATGTAAGACAGTGGAGCACAAGCTGCCCAGCCCAGTTCACTCCAGCCCCAGGCATCCTTACCTCCTGAGCAGCAGCTTGGGGTGGTTCTTGCTCTCCAGATTTTTGTCTATGAGGTCAGCCAAGAGCTGTTTGAGGACATCAGTAGCATACTCCAGCTTGCTCTGCAGCACTGTCATGATCAGTGAGGCCACGTTACCACGGTCCCTCATGGAGAAGCTGCGTTGGGACTCCAGTGTGCGGATGAAGGACAGCAGGAAAACCTTGTTGTTGATGAGCTGGGCAAAGAGCTTCAGGCCTTTCTCCACACGTTCCTGCCTATAACCAGGGACCTGCACAAGAAGAAAGGGAGTTCAGACCTGTCCATCACTACCCACTGTCAGACCTCCCCAAATGGGTCACACACCCTTTGGCACCTCTCTTCCCTCATACCCCCAGTTCCTCCAGCTATACTATTTGACATCAAGCAGAAGTCATTTCTGAGATAGGGAAAAAGGAAAAGCTGCTTCAAACAGCAGAGAAAATAAAATTAAAAAAATAAATCTTTCATCTAACAAGCAGGTGGGTCCTGACTTCTGCATTATAGGATAGTCCTGTAAAAAGGAAGAAAGTCCAAACATTATCTAATGATTAGGAATCGTGAGAGATCTCCTAGTCACAGCCAGATGATTGTTTTCCAATCCATCGTTTCCCTCTCTGAACAGTACATCGAGTGTTAGTGACTAGATGTGGTATCATGCCATGATATATTTTTATTGTAGTCCAACTGAAGTCTCACTCTACCTTCACCTAAAACCTCTTTTTCACTCCTGAAAGAAACCTGCTGACAGAGATTTGGGGTTCAGCTTTAAGAAGCTTGGAGACGCAGCAAGAAAGAGAATGAGGACGAGACCTTGGGGTCAGGTTTTGAGGAGATGAAGAGATGCAGTGAGGTAGCAGCTGAGATGGTGATCATGCAGTTGGACTTTGATCTGAAGAACTAGAAGATGAAGGTGTGAGAGGACACCCTGAGTTGGGACATGTCTTGGAGGTCCCATTGCAGTAGGACCCCTGGGCTTGGGAGGTGAGATGGTTTGGAGACAAAGAGGTTGATAAGTCTCTAATATATTTCTCAGCTGTGAGAGGCTGGTGAACTAGTTTTTCTACAGAGCAATTTAAGACCTCAGCACTGGATCCAGGACTCCACAGTGTACAGTGGGGTTTACCCTTTCCAGACCTTCTGGCTCTAGACAAAAATGGAGCCTAAATAGAGAAAACCAAACTCATTCTTCCATGTTGCTGAAGCTCTTCCAGCCCTTGAAAAAAGTTCCCGGGAAGCTGGAAGGTCTCAACACAGAGCAACACATGTCACTGAAGCATGTATGTATTAATCACCAACCAGATTTGGCACTTTAATCCAAAATGAGTTGGCATGTTTAAACAACCAAGTAATGCAAGGCCTCTTAAAGAGTCATTATTTTTTTCATTCTGGAAATTAGAGCTCTTAACTCTTTTTGCATACGGCAAATAAATTACTCAGTAAATAGCTAGAGACAACCAACCAACCAACCACTACCACCCATCCCGACAATAATTATTTTTAAATCACTTGCTTGAACATTTAATATTGTCTATCCTTGGGTTATTATGGAGAATTAAAAAAAAAATTAAAAAGAAAAGTATTTTGTAGTGCATCTGGAAGCAGTTAATTAGCAAATGAACTGGAAATAAGTAAGACCTGCTCACTGCAGGATCTATGCTGCAGCCTTCTGCAATAAGTAGGAACTCCCTCTAGATGTTACAGAGAAGGGAGCAGAATGGGAACTACTTTCTCTGATATGTTGGTAGCCAAAGGTGTTGATACTGAAAGAGCTGTTGAAGCTTTACAGAGGATTAAGAAGGAAAAAAAAAAATGAATGAAATGAAAGGAAGAAGAGATCAAAGGTGGCAAATTGAAACATTAGCTCTGTGTCTCTCTATATGTATCTACATATGGGAGCATCCATGCCAAAACCTCTACAGAGGTCAGATGTTATTCTGTGGTCAGTTGGCTGAGGTTAATGAATATAGGGATGGAAATTTGTTGTGAGTATAATGAAATTGTTTGTGTGTGTATATACATATGTGTGAGAGAGATTCATCACCCCTCATCTCTTGTGCTCATTTGTTGAAGCTGCTGAGCTAATCTTCCTGAGGGAAAGCAGTTTGAGGTCACCCCACCTGCACCCCAAAGGTAAATATATACAGTAGTCAATGTGTAACTCAGCCTCCTACTCAATCCCACAAGTCCTTCTTGCTGACAGATCACTTTTAAAATGATTCTCTCTGTACAGTTTGATGAATTTTGGCTCTCTTGAAGGGAAGGAGCAGACGAGCAGGCACCTCTGATTACACAGCTAGCCAACCATAGCATTGCCTGTGCCAGATCCTGCTCCTCCTTTCTGCCAACTAACCCCAGTCTTGGCCTCCAGTAATCTCATGCCCAGCCCATGCCAGAACCTCTCCTCTTAGAGCTTGCCAAAGACTTTGCAGAGAACTCAGCCAACGACCACCCCAGCTTCTCTGGCCCAGGTATGCCTAGAGCAGAGCCTAATCATCTGCCAAAGCCTGAAGCAGTTTTGCAGAATGGGTAGATCTCACCTGGGGTCCCACCAAACTCATTGTCACCAGTGAAGTAATGCAGGCTGCGTGTAGACCTCAACAGTGCTCGGCAAAATCTCACTGTCCTCTCACCACTGTGGTCCAGAGAGCTGGGGTGGAGGAAGTAGATGTGGGCAGGGTACGGGCAGATTCATATCGTGGTTTTCTGACCTCATTGTAAACCACAGAGCACAGCAAAAGTGAACCTCCTTCAGCGACTGCAGGTTACTTCTACAGGTGTTGACACAAAAAAGGCCTCCAGCTAGTGTGTCATCCAAAGCTGGAGTGACCCAGGCAAGTATTCTGTTCTACCATACAACTTTTTTTCCTGGCCCCTTCACAGCAGTCACTAATAAATCCAGTCTGAGAAACAAACCTCAGTAGGATGAAGACCAAGGAGAAGTTTAATACAGTAGACCTAATGCATACAGATCTATGAGACTCTTCCAAATAGATAAGTGATCAAACAGAATTTACCATCTAAGGTAGCAGCAATCACCTTCCCCTTTCAACCTGGATTTTTAACGAGGTGCTGTTTCGTCACTGGTAGGACACAGCATTTTAAGCCATCACATCCCAAACACTGACAACATCTCTTGCATTCAGAACAGGGAGGTATGAGAGGAGCTAGAAGCAGATGTTCATTCTTACCTCCAGATCCCTCAGGACTGGATGATCTTCAATGCCAGGGAAAAGCACCCTCATGGTGTAGGTTCGGTAATCGAGGAAAGGGATCCCAGCTCCATCCAGATCACTTGTTAGCTCATGAATATCTGTCTGTAGCTCTGCAAAGGCTGACACAAAAAAGGAACGAGTCATGTAGCAATGACAGTCTGGATTTCCCTCAACATGCTGGGGAAGGCCTTCAGATCCACATGCATGAGATGAAGGTACTAGTGAGAAGAAACACGGGGAGAATAAGGAGAAGGTGGACAAGAGCAGTCTCACCTTTCCTATAACACAGCCTTTCCCCAGGGACATGTGCCAAGGCTCTCTCCAGACTGTGAGTTAGCAAATGCAGTTAGGACAGGGTGGAGAAAAGCTGGACTCAGGGAAAATATGCAAAGCCAGATTAGATGTAGGCTTGTGCCATACCCTCTGGGTTCAACACTCCTTTTGCTTGTGATATTTTGGCCCAAAGCTTTGTGGCTGGATGCCTCTCTTCTACCAACACTGACACAGTGTCAACCCTCCTTCTTCATCTTACCTTCCTTGCACTCTAGTGCCACCCTGGACTCCAGGTTGTCCATCTGCATCTGCAGACGCTTGAGGGTGAGGTCACTTTCTCTAGATTTGCGTTTGTATGCAATCAGCACAGCCACGATGAAGATGATGAGCAGGCCACCGGCCACCGCAATGCTGACGATAGCTGGCAAGCTGAGAGGGCTGTCTGGAGAGATGTAGACCATTCCAGGGGAGAACTCCATCCCTCCTACACGAGCCTAGAGTAAAGGCAGGAAATAGTTGCATTGAAACTGTTGAACAAGCAGGAATACAGAGGAACTCCATCATCTCCCTGACTAAGGCTGAATGATGACTGCCCCTTGTCTCCCAGTCTACACATATAATGAAGTACTCGGATAGAGAATAGCTTAAAAACACCTGAAATGTCATATAGAAGAACCTTTGCTGACAGTGTGACCATGAACCCAACCAACAAATGACTTGTGGTGAGACAAATCTCACCAGTCTCAGTGTCTTGGTTACATATCAGTTTGAGCTTCATTCTGTTTTTTCCATTCGCTGTCATGAACAGCTATGTTGTGCTGGACTTCCCTGATGACACTTAGTTCCAAAATTCACTTAGCTCATGGTTATGATCTAATGGGTCCTAATCTCATAATGGGCCAGGGGACATCTGACCCAGACAGTTAGCACAGCACCAGTCAGTACAGTGGGAATGCAGAAATGAGAGTCACAATTTGCTTTTGACTCTTCAACTGGAGGAAGCTGTATCTGGAAACCCCTGAGACAGGGAAGAAAAACATAAACAAAAACAGAAAACAAAACCCCAGAGCTTGGCCCATGCTCTTTACAGCCCTTCTCCCAGCCATATAATGTTTATAAATATCTAAAGGGCAGGTGTCAAGAGGGTGGGGCTAGACTCTTTTCAGTGGTGGCCAGTGATAGGACAAGAGGGAGAAGAGGTAATGAGAAGAAGCTGGAACACAGATGATTCCACTTAAACGTGAGGAAAAACTTCTTTACTGTGAGGGTGACAGAACCCTGGGACAGGCTGTCCAGAGAGGGTGTGGAGTCTCCATCTCTGGAGATGTTCAAAACCCACCTGGACACTTTCCTGTGCAACCTGCTCGAGGTGAACCTGCTTTGGCAGGGGTGTTGGACTAGATGATCTCCTGAGGTCCCTTCCAACCCCCACCATTCTGGGATTCTGTGATTGGCAGGCTGACTGCAGATGTTCACCAGTGGGAAGGGAGCTGAACACAGCTTTCTGCTCTTCATGCACTCCCAGAGGTTCCCAGGGCTGCTGCCAGCCTCTGGAACAAGGTGCTGTGCAAAGATCTTGCTTTTAACACTCAGAAAGAAACCTTGTAATTGCTACTGCTGCAAACCCAACAAAATGCTTTGCTGAAGTCTGTTAAGAACCCATTTTTACAACATGAACACTGCTCCCAACAGCAATCCCACAGCACACGACTTGCTCAAGGCTACTACAAGGTTGTTTAAGGATACTGTAGAGTAGGATAAGTTTGAGCTGCAGGGGGGAAAGCAGTTCTGGTAGCCTGAGGTATAAAAAGAAGGTTTCTAGGAGTGTGCTGTGATAAGGGAACACTGGTTACAGATCAACACAGAATCACAGAATGGTATAAGTTAGAAGGGACCTTAAAGATCATCTAGTTCCAACCTCTCCCTGCCATCAGCAGGGACACCTTCCACTAGACCAGGTTGCTCAAAGCCTTATCCAGCCTGGCCTTGAACACTTCCAGGGAGGGGGCATTCACAACTTCTTTAGGCAACGTGTTCCAGTGTCTCACCACCCTCACAGTACAGAATTTTTTCCTCAGATCTCATTTCAATCTCCCCTTTTCCAGTTTAAAGCCATCACCCCTTGTTCTATCACTATGTGCCCTTGAAAACAGTCACAAAGAACATAAAGCTAGGAAGATGCCATGCAAAGAGCCTGAAGGATCATGACATGGTGATGAGACCCATCACTTCACCCCAGCTAAGCTGTGTCTTGGAGAGGTACAGCAGAGCCTGCACGAAGTGTAAAATCTTGCTTCCTGGGAGAAATGCAGTCAAGACCCCAGGGCTACAGTCTTCCCTATCCCATTGCAACTGGGACCATTGCAGCATGTAATTGAACCTTTTTCTTCCTCCTTTATGAGGAGCTCTCCCTCACCTTTCCAGTTTCCATAGCTGCTAGTGAAAACATCTCCTACACCCCAACCTGGTGGCTAGCCTTGTACTTCATCCCACAGGCTCTCAATCAGTCTGTCTCCAACCTGCCTGAATACACATTAATCCCAGGCCTGCCATGCCTCTGCTCAGGCACCTACTTGGATTTCCTCTCTAGGTTGCAGGAGGAAGAAACTGGTCCAAGGAGGAAGGATTGGAGCCAGCAGAAGAGATTACAGGGCAAAGAGTAATGAATTAATGATACATTTTCCACCTGTCCTCGCTCCTGACCACCACAACACTTGCTGGGGACATGAGTCTCTGTGATCCCACTATCTCCTATAAATTATTCTGGCCCAGTTTATAACCTCTGAGAAGATGTCTCTTTTGCTGTGGCACCAGCTGAAGGCTGTTTCTCAGTGAGTCCTGACCAAAGCCGCCTGGCTGTAACTCATGTCTTGGACAGGATAAAAGTGAATGAATGGAAATATATGATTTCTGTCCACAAGGTCCTCTCATCCCATTTTGTGATAAGCTTTAGAAAGGTAACAATGTCCACAATAAGAAACAAAACCAAACCTAAGCTCATTTGACCAGGTAATAGGGTTTCCAGACAACTGCTCCTGTAGCATTACATTGATGAATTGTAGAGCTTCTTCAGTGGCCAAGGAAAAACCTAGCTCCCATGTAAGTTGAGGACACCACAATAACTAGTTTTCCCATCTATTTCAAAATGCAAGGCCCAACTCACAAAGCCTGTGTAGAGCAGAGGTTTGGTATTGGTATGTGGTATACTCAGTAGAGAAGGCAAACTGCAAAGTCACATGATAATCTATGCACTGAAAAGTGTTTGCCCTAGACCACTGTCCCAGATCCTCCCAGCAAAATTTTCTCACCAGCTTGCACAATTTCCTTCCTGTCACAGTGGATCAATAAATTGATTCATTATATTTCATTTTCTGTTTCCAGCAGTGGTCCTTTTCCTCCAAGCACTGTAGCCAGATGAGTCCATTCAAGAAGTATCAGATTAGAATCAGTCAACCCTGTCCCAGTCCCCAGTGCAGATCTGTCCTCAAAGCTCTCAGAACAGATCATCTCCATGGGTGGGATCCTTCTCACCAAATATTTGACATGCACATCTGAGTTAGATGTTACAGCATGCTTTCAGAGTCAATACAGAGAAAAAGCACTTTTAGAATGTGATTTATGTGAGCTGCTTTTGACACCTGCTTTGACATCAGGATGAGACATTTATTCAGTGGAAGTTCCTATTTCTATCCACTAACTATAAGGGGATCTAGACTTTTAGAGGTAAGTGTTTAACAAAGTTAACCCCAGTACATTCCTCTCTAAAGGTTGTTTCAACACTGGGAAGGTGTCACAGTCCACGAATCAAACTACCATGATTTGAGGGAACTCCTCTCTTGAAGAAGAAAACCTGGAAGGGTGCAGTATTGTGAACATTTTAAATAAAAACAAGCTAATTTGTAGATATAGCCCTCTTGGGCCACTGAGTGTTTCTGAGGGAAGTTATTTATACCTTCCAGAAGACTGACCATGAGCCCTCCATATTATCAAACAACAGTTTGGTCATCTGTTTAGCTTATTAATCATGAATTTGTTCTAAATGGCACTCTGGTAGAGCCCAGTTTTCTCCAGCAAACACCTGTAGCAGTTCAGGAGTTCCTTATGTGCCAGACATGACTGTAGGACTGTCCTTCTTCATGCAAGTTTTCCTTGGACAAACGTGTCTACCTTAGGATGAGAGCCCTAAACTTCATTTGCTGTGTTTTATCATCTCTCATTCACCACACAAAGAGTCCAGTGTGAATTTCCATATTTAAGTGCCTACATTAGATACCAGCAATCCTTCAAATGTACTCCTCTTCTTCATTGCAGATCTTCTCCAACATATTTACTTGTGGATCTTCCTCATGTCTCTTTCTTTTCCTCAGAAAAGAGCTTGCCTCTGAGATTTAGTCAATCTTTTTAAACCATGGTTCAGGTCTTTTAGTTCTTTTCTATTTTTTCAAATATTTAACTCTGTCATTGTATAAAAGATAGCTAAACTAGATCAAAAACGTGTTTATATTAATGTGTGTCATTGTCACTATTCCTTTCCTTAGAAATAATCTGTGTTTCAGTGGCTGATTCACTCCCATGATTCCCTCTCAGATCTAGGCCACCTCACTTTGCAAGAAAGGGTTTGTTCAGCAGTTTATTCAAGGTCACACAGTAAATTGTTGGCAGAAACAGAAGGACGACCTGGGAGAGATACCTGTCAATTATCCTGACCATCAAAGTGACATTCATGTGAAACATGGGGATATATTTTGTACCAACTTGAGCAAAAGAGATGCTGTGCCGTGCTGGAGGAGGTATTTCCCAGCCCAGCTGTCCCTCTGGTAAGTTCCAGATGCAAAGTCAATCCTTGAGCACTGGCCTCCAACGCAGGTGACCTTCTGTATTTGGTTCCCAGCCCAGACGCTGTCAAAGTGTTGCCTCAGTGTTGGCAGTTGAATGAGAAATCTGTAATACCCCTAATACTGATGCTCATTAACAGGCTTCAATGTGATCATCTTCCCATGTTTCCAGCAGCATCTCGTTTGATCAGTGTCCTCAAAAAGGGATTATTTTTTTCTCTATGGCTTCACTTAAGCTGTCCCAAGCTGCAGGAGCAAGGGAGTCTTTCCAATTAGTAAGACCTGACCAGATGTTCATCCTCCTTGATCCCCAGGGGTTGATTATTGCTCACCTGACTTTGAGTTTTCTCTCCTTAGGATTGGCTTTGTCCATCTCCAACTAACCATATGTTTAATTATATTCATGAAAATGACAGGGAACATATATTGCCTTGTTCAAAAGCTTTGGTATTCACACAGAGAAAATCTCTCACTTCATTATTGCTCCTCTTGGAGTGTCTTAATGTGCTTTACAAAGAATCAAGAGCCATGGTATATCTGCATGGCTGAAAAGGATTATTACCTCTATTTTCCAGATGACAAACTTTGGCACAGAGAAGTTAAGTAGCCAGTATGAGGTCTCCCAGCAGCAGTCACAAACGAGACCTAAAATGGTCACCATAAACTCTATTTTCTAAAAGTCCTCAGAAAACTCTTTTTAAAGAGCCATGCAGTGTTTCTCCATCAACACCTATGAGTCTCACTGCATTGAAGTAAATAAATATGTGACAGACACAGCTCTGGGAGAGCAACAGAGAGATGGAAAAAAGTTGATCATAAGGAATGAGAAACATTGATCATCTGATGTCAGTTGTTAGCTTTTGTTGTGTTTCCACCCACAGCTTGGTAAAACTTAGATTAGTTTGCTGATATGCTGTTTATCAAGCAACAGCATCAAGGAATGCAAATTACTGAGAGAAAAGTAAAGAAGGAGTGAATAAGTTAATGGTGAGAGGAGGAGAAGCTTTTTCTGATGTAATCACCAGATCCATTTTTCACAGGTTCCAGGAAAGATATACAGGAGTATACCAAGTTGTATAGATGTCAAAACCTCAAAGTCCAGTCACATTAGAGTCTATATCCCACATTTTATTTTTTTCTCTTGCATAAAGGCAAATTTTATCTACCAATATGTTAGTAACTGCTGGAGACTGTGCTGAATTTAACTAAGCATGTCATGTTACATATATGAACTCACTTAAGCATCTAGGGTTCATACAGTTCATACAAAGCAGAAGAGAGGTAAACATTCCTAAAGGGTTTTGATTATGAAAGGTTTCTCACTGTCCATAAAGATCTCCAGGTTACTCTTCTACTTCTCCAAGTTACTCCTGATGGGGATATTATATCAAGAAGGGTCTCTGATGTTTATGGGATCTACAGAAGGCAAATGGTGATGCCAACTCCTGTGAGATCTCTGCTAACTCTTCAGCATTGATGTGCCCTCCCAACACATCCAGGGAGGAAAGGCTAATGAGGTTCAAGCACCACTTACCATCACCTTGTGCCGTCCAATAAGGTTTGGGGATTCACACAGTAGCTGCACATCTGATACGGTCACCGCACAGGGCTTCTCACCAACCAAAACAGTGTAGTTCAGCTTGGCATTCCCTCCTGCCACTGGTGGGATCAAGTTCTTGCCCTGTATAGAAAGGAATATCATCCCCCCAAAAAAAAATCAGCATCAGGAAAGAGTTTCCTTCCACCTCCTGTTAGTTCCCTTGAGACAAGTGTTAACATTGCTCTTGCTGTTTTTGGGTCACCATTCTCTAACACAGAGAAGAAAAGCTGATTTAGAAAGTCATGCAGAGGACAGCATGGATGTCTACAGACTGTCCTCAGTCAAAACAGTCTGTCCTGCTCCTCTCTCTCTAGAACTGAATGAGAAACATTGCATGTAAGTCTTCTACAAACAGGTCCTCACAACACATATTCAGGCAAGTAAAACAGACCCCTTTCCAAACACACAAGAAGGTATTCTGCAAATAATTTCTTTGCACATGAACCACATACAGGTGCTGATATAGAAATGTTCAATCATAAAATTCCTGCTCTGTATTGCTTCCAGATTGCAGAAATGACAAAGGAATGGTGTAATATTTAACCAGGGGTGAGATGAAGGTCTTGAAAGCCCAAGAAATAAATTGACTTGGGGATTTAATTGTCATCCCTATTGCAGTGGTAGAAAATGTTCTTCATGGTGAGCAGGAAGTAATTGAGATGCCACTGTGGTTCTTGTGGTGCTGGCAGACACAGAGAGGTAATAGGTAGCATGTGTTTGTCCTTCCTCATCCAAGCCTTGGTCCCCATCTCACCTTCAATATAATGGGACTTCCTGGCTTCAGCTCCAGAATCCCCGAGGGATTAAAAACCTCAAAGATTGGGTTTGGATAGTAGGTGAAGTTGGTTTTGTTGAGGATCAGCAGGGACTGCACGTTGTCAAGAATGAAGCCAAACTCCTCTGGACGCTCGGCAAGCTCAGACTGGTGATTGGGGTCCACAGCCAATGCTGGAGCCTGGCAGGTCATCTCTGTGCTGTTCTGCACCTCACAGTTCTGGAGAAAGAAACCCAACAAAAGGAGTGTTTATGGAAAATGCCCTGAGCCCTCCTGGTGGGCAGATAGCTCCCAGTGAAATGTTAGCCTACCTACTACTGGAGGACAGAGAGGAGCAGACCTCCTTGGTCTGTGAGACAAGCTTCAAAACACCCCATACCCATCACACAATCAAGACTGGGAAGGCATTAGGAAAGCTTTGCAGGGACAGGTGTGTGGAGCATTTTACACTGCAATTGGCCATTCTGTGCCTCTTCCCTGAGGGAACTCAGCCTCTGGAGTTGCCAGTGTCAGCATCTTCCCCTAACCTTGCTTCCTTCTGGAAATAGAATTTTCTTCCTTTTTTTTTACAGCAGAGACTACTCAAAGCCTCAATACTACCCTGCAATTAGCTTTCAAGCTCTGGGGATCACTCCAAAAGTGTATGTGCAGCGTGTGTTCAGTTGTGCACAAGATTCCTCTTTGAACATCAGGTTACCTGAAATGAAACCCAGGATGTGGTGGAGGCAATGGGGTAGGTCTCAGAAGACCCTGAAGTTTGATTCCAGCCCTCCCAAAGACCTGTTTTTTTGTGGTTTTGAGAAATGAGTAATAGATTTTGAAAGGCATTCTATCCCAATTTCCCTTTTAAAAGACTAGAATTAGATAATCTGGTTGTCCATCAGGATCTGAGCCTTTATCTTTCTACATTGTAGTCGCTAGCACACTGCATCTTGGTCCCACTAGGAACCAACAGGCTCCATGGGGAAACAGCACCGGCTCTGTGGGATCCCAGCTGTACTCTATATGAGTATCTATCTAGTCTGATACCTCCAGTATTGAGAGCACACTCATCATCACAGCTAGCATAGCCCAAGTGTTAATATTTTTTTTGGCTCAAATCAATAGAGAGATAAGTGACTTAGATGAGCTAGTTACATATTGTAAAGTAAGTCAGATGTTCTCTGCTGTAACAGCTCCTACAAGGAAGAAAAGGCACTGGAGTACTTCCCAGTACAAAACTGATGGGTAATTGTACATGAGCATGTGTGAGATGATGAATAGGCTTCATCATCTGCACAATGGCGTGATTGTTTGAGACCATTGTGTCAGGCAAGAGCAGGAGTCTGCTGGAAGAATAAGATGAAGTCATGCAGGCTTCTAGTTCTGCAGAAAAGCTTGAGAAGTGTTTGGCTGTGTTGTACCAGAAAATATGACACATGACTAAAATATACCTGTGTATCTTCTGGCAGTCAAGAGGGCAAACCACATCCTGGGGTACATTAAACATGGTATAGCCATCTAGTCAAAAGAGGTGATTATCCTGCTCTATTCAGAATTTGTGCAGCCTCACCTGGAGTAGTGTCTGCAGTTTTTGGCCCCACCATTTAAGAAGCATGTGAAGGTCCTTGAATGCATTCAGACAAGGGCAACAAAGCTGGTGAAAGGGCTGGAAGGAATGTCCCATGAGGAGCGGCTGAGAACTCTGGGTTGAGTTGTTCAGAGAAAAGGAGGCTGGGGTTCAACCTCATTGCTCTCTACAGCTTCCTGAGGAGGGGAAGCGGAGAGGGAGGTGCTGAGCTCTTCTCCCTGACATCTAGGGATAAAATGCATGGGAACGGTTCAAAGCAGCACCAGGGAAGTTTAGACTGGGCATTAGGAAGCATTTCTTTACTGAGAGGATGCGCAAACACTGAGCAGACTTCCTAGAGAGGTGGTCAATGTCCCAAGCCTGTCAGTGTTGAAGAGACATTGTACAATGCCTTTAATAACATCTTTTAACTTGGTCAGCCCTATATTGGTCAAGTAGTTGGACTAGATGATCATTGTAGGTCCCTTCCAACTGATCTATTCTATTCTATTCTATTCTATTCTATTCTATTCTATTCTATTCTATTCTATTCTATTCTATTCTGTTCTGTTCTGTTCTGTTCTACTTTATTCTCATAATCAGTTGGAAGATTGCCAGTCAAGATTCACATCAGACCCAGAAACCGATCTCAACAGATATTTCTTGAAACTAGTGAGGTGTGAGAGGAGACAAAACTGCTTTGGATTTGGCTTTATGCAGGGAGATATTAGTTCACAGTAGAACTGGGATAAGACCAAAACCTAGGTCTATCAATTTCTGAATTGTAGATACAAATGAATCTATCCCATATTCCTGAATTTTCTGTTTAGATCTACCATAGTTTCACCATTGCTTATGTTCCAGCAGATTATTTTAATGCCCACAAAGTACTTTGAGAACCTTGAGTGGAAAGCCCGTAGATTAACCTTAAAACCTGAGAAATGCAGAGGATCTAAACTTTCTACCCCCATCCCAATTACTCCCTCTGTATTTTTTAATTTTGGAGCCTCTTCTTCTGGGATGCTCCCAGGAAGTGTCCATACAGGGCAAATACCTTTTCAGATGCTGTTGTATGGCTCTATCCTCCAACCTACTGTAGGTACCAGCAGGTGCTGGCTACTTCCAAGTTCCCTAATTGGAGGTGCTAAACACACACATCTTACAACTCTTTCTGGGGACTCTAGTAATTGGATCCTTCTAAGTGAATTGTCCTCACAAAACTTAGTAAAGCTCTTCTGGTCTCCTCAGAGGTACTTCTGATTCCTCTTTGGTCACTGAGAGTTGAATTACACTGTAAATCTATCTGGTTAAACCTGGATACACTTTTGCAGGATCCCAAATAGTCCAAGGAGTGGACACAGTAGTACCAAAGAGTATTATTCCCAGTCCCTACTGATCCCAGCACATCAGCTAATAACCTGAATTTGTGTCTACTTGTGCATAGGCATGGCTGATAAATAATGTAGGTTGTACATGAGACAAGAGAGAGGACTGCTATCCTTGAATCAACAGAAGAAACAGTCTCAGGAGCAGAACAACCTTTAATGACACCGCTCTCTGTTCCCTCTTTGGTCCAGTGCTCCTTCATGGGCAGAAGATGGGGTAATCCTTCTGTAAGTAAGTCATATGCTCTTTTCTGGGTGCAATAGGAGATACCAAATTCCAGATCTATTAGACAGCCTCTATCGCCACCATGGACGTGTCCCTTCCTATGACTGATTCCCAGCTCAGCATTCATACTCACATTGACGTGTTCCTTTCCACCATGCTTTGCCCGGATCTGAGGATTTTGGATCAGGTCTAGGTGAGTTCCCCACACTGCAATGGGTGTGTTACCACTAGAGAAGAAGAAACGGAAGAAAAAATATGAGCCCATTTAATAGATATCAGGACTGATTGCACCAACAATGGGTTATCTATAGTTCCTAAATGTTGATTGCAAAGTGTCTGACCACATCTCACAGTCCCATAGGAAGGGAAGGAAAATCAAAACAAAACAATGTTTCATTTATTCATAAGGTGAGAAAGAAGTAAAACCATATGCTTGCCAAAACTGTCATATCAAGCAACATCTACCTGTCTTTTGTTGTTAGGACTCAGTAATCACAAGCTTCAATAATGAGAAGAGTGGGAAATTCAACAGAAGTTCTTCAGAGTGGTCCACAGACTATATCTCCTATATCACTTAAGAAAGGGAGTCTAAAACACTCATAGAGACTGTCCTGTGTAAGCAACTCTTGAGGATTCAGTGCTACATTGCTTGGTGGTTGGAGTATCATCTTGCATATTAAACCTGTTATAAAAACATCACCCTGAAGAAGATAATGTCACCTCAGTGAACCCATTTCAGTGCTGCCAGGAGCCTGGTCCTACAGCATCTAGAAAAAAGCAGAGCCAGAGTCGTCAACTTTGGTGTGCATAAGGCATTTGCTCGGTTTCTATTTGGTGACCCAGGCAGATAAGTTCTACCATGTGTGTTAAATCCAACAAATGACAGCATAGAGATTTCCAGTCACTGTGTTCCTTTGCTCAGACAAGGACTGGTTTCCTGAGAAAGAAGATTCATATGAGCCTTAAATCCAACAAATGACAGCATAGAGATTTCACAGTGTCCCTTTGCTCAGACAAGGACTGGTTTCCTCAGAAAGAAGATTCATATGAGCTATGACCCTGAATTTGGCAGGTTTTCTCACTTTTATAACATCTCTCAGCCTAGCTTCAGTTGGGGAGATATAGATGGAGCCCTTCTCATTCTCTGCAATAAGTGTCACCAGCAGGAAACAGCTTTCAGAAACACCCTTCTCTCTTTTCCATTGCCTCTTCCAGCTGCAGCCAACAGTGCTGTTTGTGGGACTTTGGGGAGCAGAGGAGAGGGAGGAAGGAAACTGCAAAGGAGCATTCCCAGGCTTCAGCAAGACCTGATGTGGGGGTTATCTTTGAACGTTGTATTGGGGGAGGGTTCACCATGGGCAGGTTTGGCCACCTCAAACTGAAACAGCATTGCTCTGCCAGGGTGAGCTCTCCCTTTACAGCACTGTGAGGAAGGCAACATGATGCAAGGGCTGAAGGGTTGTCTGAGAAAGCAAAACCTTCATCTGTCAGGGCTCACACAGCCAGGGCAGGATGAGGAAACATCATCAACAGACAGACCCATCTCTGAGGGTTTCCCAGGGTGATGAGTCCTCTCATCGGTTTCAGCACCTGCCTCTTTAACTCCCCTTGGAAACTATCCAGGTTGCAATTTATTTCCTGGAATGCTCTGCTGAAAAGAGGGAGAGCCTTGTGGAAATTGATGGGATTGGGAAAAGAAAGCTCAGAATCCCTTTCCTGCCTCCAGGTAAACCTATGCATACATGAAAGGTGAAAAAAAGTGCATTATAAATGAGAAATCACCAGAGAATAAACACACTGTGATGAAGAAGCCTGTGTTGGCCAACAGATCTCCTCCAGTTCTAACCTTTGTTTTCCATGTTCCTCATTTATCTTCCACCATTAATCATATGGGGCAGGTAGGGATGAATGCAAATGTACATCTCTGCTCAGCAGTGTAGCTTTCAGGTTTCATTGAGCTGGCCACAGCTAGCTGGGACTGTGTTTCAGCCCCTCTAGTTACACCCACACTGATAAACCAAACGGCCAGGACAACAGCTCAAACCCTGGTTGGTGGCCATAGGTGTTGATAAACTGTTAGAAGTACCCCAGGAAATGCCTGGTCATGGGTCAAGGGATAGCAAAGGCCAGGGAGCACTCCCAACAAGCAGGATGGATGAAGCTAAACTGCCTTTGAAGGAGGAAAGATTGGTGGTATCAATGAGGGCTACACATGCTTACTGGGTTCAGGACCAAAGAATAGACCTGGATTAAGTATTCAGTAGTTTAAACTTAAACTTGGTCCTTGTGGACCAAGAAGCAAATTTAAAGTCATGAGGAGCCATGAACTATGCCAAAGAGCATTGTCACAACCATATTTTTGAGCAGGTGCTCCTGAAACACTTCTCTGAGAGGTTCCTTATGGTCTTTCATTCAAGCAATGCCTGTACAGATTGATCTTGGTTAGGACAACATTTGACCATGAGTTTTTCAGTGTGCCTCAAGTTCTTGCTCTCTGAAACCATCACTTGTGATGGGAAATTTCTAATAGGAAATTTTATGGGGCAAAACCACATTTTGACATTTCCACAAGATCTGCTTGGATGGTTGAGTACTCTTGAAGGCACAGACTCTTTTCTGAAGTCGTACATCCACTTACAAGAAGGCTCCTCCTCCCTGCCTTATAAAAAAATACCTTCTCCCCAAAATTCAGCTTCATATTAAGTATTCCTGATGTCACCCAGGAGAGCTTGCTCACTAGAAACCAGAAGAGAAGTGTATAAACCAAGTTGTTCTTTCTCCACTGTCCTGTTTCTTCTGGATTTTTGGCTGGGAGCCTTTATAATTTTTATTATTATTTATTATTATTATGAATCTCTGCTGATTCCAACTAGAAAGGATTTTATATCTTTACCCAGCTGAAAGTTTTATGTTTTCCAGACGTATCAAATATGTGTGCAAATGTACAGATATATGAGTGTGTGTGTATATATACATAAATCCTTTTATTTAATCAAACCAGTCTGTGCACACAGTTTTAAACCCATGTGTTAAAATTTCTATATTTGGTTTGGAAACTGAGCTTGCAGGCTCAGACCACATAGTCACAGCAATGGATCAGAGAGGGGCTTTTCTTCTGAAAAAAAAAGCCAAAGCAGTTGTGTTTGTTGAAAACATGAAATCACCTCCAAACCCTCTCTGGCTTGAAAAATCAAATAAATAAAACTGTTTGCTTGTTTGTGCATGAAAACCACCACCCACTGCAGATGAACACATGGTCACGGCCACTTCTCACTCAGGTTGGATCAGAGAGATGTTGCTACCCAGCAAAATAACAGAAATGCCAAGACTCCGAGTTTTCTTAATTTAACTCTTTATTATCCCAAAAGCTCTGTGCATAATTCTCTCTCTGCAGACTCAAAAAATTGCTGGACGTAACTCAAATCAAACCCAGATCAAAAGTATTAATAAAGCCTTATAAAATTCTAGTTACCTGCCAACCCAGTGTGACTTTTTTTTTTGGCTATGGGAGTAAATTAGCCATAATCTTTTCTTTATTGTCTTGGAAAATGGCACTTGAGAAGGTTTTAAGCCAGGCTCGGTATATTCATTCACTAATTTTGCAAAGCTGGTTTAGTAGCAATCTTCTATCCCTCAAAACAGCTTAGTCCCAGAGCCAGGAGTGATGAATCAGAGAAGCACAGTGGATTTGCTGCAATGAATCATTTCGCATAACAAATATACTGAGGAACAGCCTCTTCAGTCTATCTCCAGATCCACGTGTCTTGACTAACTTATTTCTTACTTGATTCTCAGGACTGGAGTTGGCTGCACTTTTATCCAGCTCTGTCTGGAGGCTTTAGTCCAATGCTTGTGTCCTTTATGTCCTGCTGGATGGAGCTCTACAGCTAACGTTCATAGTGCTTAAAAGTGTCCCCAACACCTTGAACCACAGTGGTAATCCTGGATATTGTGTCTTCTCTCTCAGAACCCCCCTCCAAGGTTATGCACCTTTGGAGTGATTCAAAAGTGCACAAAGAAGAGGATGAAAGTGGGTAAGTCTGGTTAAAATTAGGCACCTGTTAATGCTCAAGTAGATGCTTTCTGATTTCAGAGACACTGAAGAGAGCAAAGGGTAGAGGTGGTACCTGAATGATGAGACAGGTAGAGTCCTAGTCATCCCTCCTAGCAGCTGCACAACCTGGCACCCTCTAAACAAGCACCTCTTCTTACTTTTCTTTATGCTGGGAGATGGGATGAGAGATCCAAGACAGCAAGCAATGGGATGCAGAGTCTCTGCAACCCTGAGCTAGTCAAAGCTTTATCAATACACCTGAAGCATCAGCTTGGTTGTTTCTTCGTCTCTTGCTCGCAGCTTCAGCAGAGAAACCAAGGAGCAAATAGGCTCTGGAGAACTCCTCTCACTTCCCAGCCAGACCTGAGGTCAGGTGGAAGAAGGTCCCCATGCTGCAACTTTCTTGGGGTTAATAGAGGAATCCACTCTCCTAGGCTGTCAATCATCTTGCACGTTTTAAGCAGCACTGAACTCACTTTAATAAGGAAGGGAGTAAAGCGATTTCTCATTTCACTGATAACCCGAACTCTGACTGTAAATAAAACCCTCAAATGGAAAATACAGACACTAAAGCTTCAAGCCCAATGTGCAAAGATTCAATCTGGCTAAATCAGTAAATTCCCTCATGGTAATTAAAGGTATTAATTGATTTGTGAAAACATCTTCTGGATGGGAGCTGAACTGGGGGGATTTACAAGCCTTGTTCCTAATCCCCAGATACTCTGATCAGTCCAGTTTGACAGGGAAGCAGGGAGTTGCCATGGGTGAATGAGGGGAGACTAAGATTTTTTTATTTTATAACTTTTCAAGGAAATACCGCTGCATTTAATGACCAATTTTTCTCTCCATGGCACCATTTTTGCAGATTTCTGAGAGCATTTGGGTATCACTTTGATGCCTTCCACAACCAGGGCAAATGCTCCTCTCAGACATCTTCATGTGAACCCTCTGAATTCACCAAAGCAGCATCAACAGGGTGAAGAGAAAAACGGATGCCTAACGTGGAGGAAGGCTGTTTAATAAGGTAGGGACCAGGGCTCCCTTTGTGTTTCATTGTGGGAAAAGAGCCCTGGAGCTTTCAAGCATGATGGTCAAACAAACAATGCTTAGTGGTAAGCCAAGAAGTCCATGAAGGGTGTGGGAAAGATGGGAATTACTAATTTCAAACACAAGGGAGATTCACTCCTCTAAGCACAATTATGACTTTTATGCCTGGGTTTGAGATCAGTGACTGGTCCTGCTGCCATGCAAAGTTGTGGACTCAGCTCAATGGAGTTTGAAACACCATCATGGCCGGAAACACTAGGAATTGCAGCTTTTAGGGATACAACTGCATGGTTTAACCAACCCCAGTGGTCTGTAATGTGACTTAGACAGGGAACATCCTGACACTGGAAACAAACCCTGGGCTGCAGTGAAGTGGGAGAAAACTTCAACACTAGGTTGGATCCTTGCTGCACCTACCTTTGTAATTAAAACATGAATTCTCCAAGGCAAGCTTCTGGTGAGTATTGGCAGCTGGATTTTTCTGCATTAAGCCAGGAAGCTTTGCTCTGCTAGTGAAGGCGGGGTGCAGGATCATTTTGGTTTGGACTATGTAGAGTTTGTTTGGAGAAAAACCCTGCTCCTGGTCATCTTTCACTAGACTCTGTGGTAATGTTGTCCTGGGGTATACATGAGCACAGGCAGGCATTGAGCATCCAAGGTGTTAAAATGAATGTACAATGCAGTGCTGGCCTTTTGGTCTTCCCAGGAGGCAAGTCCACTAGTCCTCATGGTCTTGGACTCTGGGAAGTAACTGCACAAATCTATTTCTTAGTGAACACAGGACTTTTCTGTATCAAGGACCAATATGAACACATCAATGCAGCAGGAAACCATGGGAGGTGGTAGAGGGTGTCCATGGCATGCTTACCTGAAGATGCTCCACTCAGGCTCGATCCTCAGGATGGTTGGATCTTCTACATACTCATACTGCAACTCCTGATGTATCTTGGCCTTGTCTACTCTAACAGACACCTTCACCTTCTCAAAGCCTTCATCTGAGGCAGTGGTATTACAGACAATGTGCTTGGTGGATCTCCTGTGAGCAGAAACAAGTAAATATAAACCAGGTGCTACCAGCAGCAAAACAAATGATACCAAAAAAGAGCCCAGCTACTTACTCTTATGTCCTGTGACCTTGACCTGTGCACTGTGAAGTGGTGAAACTCACTGCTACGGGAATATGTTGTGAATAGATTGACACATTTATCTGAGGAAGCCACATTGCCTTTTCACTGGTTTAAATAAAACCACAAGAGCCATCATTTCTCAGCTCTCAGAGTGAAAACTGAACCCCAAGGGAAGTCTAAACCAGACCTCTCTCCAGAAGTAGTTCTGTGTGATTAAATGCTTGATGGATGTTTCCTTCCTGCTTGCAGACATATGCAGCACCAAGTCATAAAAAGGGGTGTTTGCACCTCAGCTTTCTGGTCTGGGATAATAAAGTTTACTTTGCATTGAGGCTGTAAGACTTGTTTAAGTGCAGTTTGCAACATGTCTGGGACCTTTGCATGGAAGGTGCTAATATAGTGGGAAGCATTTTATGATTATACTCCAAGAGGACTCTGCATAAACTTTTCCTTTTGGACAGGGCTCAAAACCAGCTCCGAGTATGAATTTTTCAGTGGCCTTTATCTTCCATAAAGAGCCAAAAATCCAGGCTCCAACACTCTAAATCTCCCCAGGTTTATGATTCATGACGCAGTCTTTTCTTATACCCTTAGACAGGATAAAGCAGGGTGCATCCTTCCCTTGCAGCATGGCACTTACCTTCACTGACTGCACCCTTCAGGTGCTCTCCAAATTTACCTAAAAGACCACTTTCAATCCCTCCTGAAACTCCTCAGTCTCTTCAGTAAACATCTCCAAACAGCTGTGGTTCTCACTTGGCCTTTTAAATCACAAGCTGTGACTTCCCTTTCCTGAATTATAGATGCCGAATCAAACCACAGTGATGATAGGCAGCTAAATAGGATCCTCACAGCCAGGAGGGGGAAAGAAAGACATTGCCCCAAGACAGTGGTCCCAGGTCTCCTGTGAATGAGCCCTTCTTCTGCCAAGGACATGCTGGGGGAAATGTGCCAACTTCATCTTCAGCCTCCACTGATACTGGCAGCAAAATGTGTTGCACTGTGTAGTTTTGAGCTGTGGGAGTCCATGGGAATGGGATTCAAGCTCATTCTCACAGGGATCAGGGAACATTCAGCAGGTAACACTGACATTAAGCCTCTCTGAACTGTAATTGAACAAGAGCCAACCCAGAGCTAAAATGTTGAAAATCTTACATTTCTTAGCACTCTAGGACTATTCTGAAGTGTTTTAATACTTAGAACCAATGTTGTCAGATTTTGTTTGTCACCTCTGCTAAAGCAGGGACACAAAAAAGAATCTTTTAAGTGACATACTCCAAGAGCAAGTAGCAAAGCGTAGGAACACGGAGAATTGTGGCAAAATTTGACAAGGGGCCATGGAAAAAAGCATATCAAATACCAATCAAAATTATGAAATAAATCCTATTCTGCATCCCCAAAACATGCACAGTAAGGTTGTGCATGGTGCAGAATGCAAAAGTCCCATTGCTGAATAAACATGGCCAAAGGCAAAAGAGGGGCTTGAGGGACAGGGTGTCTGAGCAACAGAAGTCTCGACAATCATAGAATCATAAAATGGTTTGGGTTGGAGGGGACCTTAAAGCTCATCCAGTTCCAACCCCCCTGCCATCAGCAGGGACACCTTCCACTAGACCAGGTTGCTCAAATCTCAGCCAACCTGGCCTTGAACACTTCCAGGGAGGAACAACCAAAGCTTCTCTGGGCAACCTGTTCCAGTGTCTGACCAGCCTCACAGTGAAGAACTTCTTCCTAATATTTAGTATAAATCTACCCTCTTCCAGTTTGAAGTCATTACCCCTTGTCCTATCATTATGTGCCTATCACTGTAAAATGTCCCTCCCCAGCCCCCTGAAGGTATTGGAAGGCTCATTGCTCATATCTTTCAGACTTGGGCATGTACAGTAAGAAGGACTCATCTGTACCTGTAGAAGAGACACGGTTGTCGTCCAAAGGTCACGATGACATTGCTGCCTGCATTGAGGTTGTTGCCCGTAATTGTCACTTGGGTGCCACCCGACACTGGTCCCCTCTTCGGCTTGAGATCAGAGAGTGTCAGAGTCTGTGAAGGCAAAGGGTCGTGTTGAAAACACAGCAGAGGAGCATTGGTACCTTCCCTCTCTCATCTTAGTGATGAAGAGAGGTAGGCACCCCCAGGGGTTAATCATGTGTTAGCTAGACTTCAGAAGATGACTATATCTCCAGGACAATAGAGGAACCTAGGATGACACCAGTCCTATCACAGACACTCTGTTTGAATGCCATGTTTGGTGGGATGAGTTCAGACCAAGTCTGTTCTCATCCTCGCAAAATACCCACTTTGAAATACTCTGTACTTGCAAAGTCAGTTCCAGGCCTGGAACAGCTGGAGCCGTGATCACCCATCTCCACTGCTTATGAGACACAGCTCAGGTCTCTTTTTGTCCTCATGCAACACCATCTCTGCAAGATAAACCATGTCTTGAACTGGCTGATTAGATCTTAATGGGGATACTCCATCTCCAAACTATGGTGCTCGCAAGTGATGAAAATCATCAGGTCTTGAAAAGATTAATTCTATTGATCTGAGAAAGGAATAGAACCTGATGTATAGCTCCAGAGAGATGCCTAAAAACTCCCCCTGTCCTCACAGGCTTTTTGCTTGGGAAAAGATTTCAGCAGAAAATCTGCGTTTGTGTCTCGCCTTTCCCACATGCCCATGATATGACCCCAAAATTTTCTCTTTTTTTATCAGACTTGGATGTTGAGACAATCTAGAACTGTATGAGTGTCCTGTTGAGTGTCCTGTTGAGTGCACATGTTGAGATGTAGTCTGAAATACCACAGCCACAAAAGGAGCACTGTTCAGATGAAGACCTTTTTTCCTTTTTCTGACGATTTTCTGAGCCTCTTTCAAACATAACATGGTGCTGTGTTAATATATCAAAAAGAGCCCCACAATTCTTTTAGGGATCCCAAGTCTCAAACCTCTTTTTCTTACCCTCCTGCTCTCCTGTCTTCCAAAATCAAGATAAAATACTTGCACTCTAAAAGCACAGATCACCCTGCTACCACAATGCAGAGAGGAGACATCCATTTTCAGGGAGAAATTTGGAGTTACAGTTTATTCTTTCATTTGCATTTTAATAGAAAAACTTTCCATTCAGTCCCAAGTGAAAAGCTACTATATGCATTTAAATTAAGATTTTTTTTTTTCCCCCTCTCTTTAAGAATGATGAAACAAATACTTGAAGCTCTCCTCAGCTCCTCTGAACTAGCAGGTACATCACGCAGTCACATTATTTAGCTCTGGAAACCATTAATCCATGTTTATAAAACCACCTGACACACACAACAGCTCCCTCTTTCACACACACAGAGCCCTCTCTGTCCCTGTCCCTCTCTGGCTAATAATTTTGAAAAACAACAGCAAGTTTTCCACTTTACTTTTGTTCAAAATGAAGCAAACGCTTGGTAGAAAGAGCTGAACGTGAATATCTGACATAGAGCTCCGTAGAAAAATCTATTGTCAGAGCTGGACACTTCTTGTGTTTAAACTTGACTGTTTTTGACATGATGGTTTGGAAACAGTTTTGCCTCAAGAAGTCCATCACCTATTAATTGCTGCAAGTTAGAACCATATATAAGAAGAAAGAAGAAAATAAGGAACAAGAAATGTTCCATTACACTTTTATGTGAATATTCTCTAACAGTTATTATTGGGGTAAAAGAAGCAGGAAGAGTATGTAGATGCAAAGGATGCAGTTCAATCTGTAGTCCTCCTCTATTTTTAGGGTACCACTTCATGATGTGATGACAACTCCTCTTTAATCCCTTATGGATGGCCACCCACACCAGTGCAAATTGTTGCTGGCCATGACAGCTGCTGCTGGGAGGTGACTTCCCACCTGGGAGAAAACAAGTTGAGAATGGCCAACTTAATGCACATAGCCTACACAACAACACTGCAAGAGTAGCTGCTTTACAGACCAGAGAAGGTTCCACTTAAACTTCAGAAGGAACTTCTTTACAGTGAGGGTGACAGAGCACTGGTACAGGCTGCCCAGGGAGGGTACGGAGTCTCCTTCTCTGGAGGTGTTCAAAACCTGCCTGGATGCCTTTCTATGTGATTTAATTTAGGTTCCTGCTCCAGCAGGGGGATTGGACTAGATGATCTTTCGAGGTCCCTTCCAATCCCTGACATTATGTGATTCTGTGATTTGAGTTAAAAACCCAAATCACTTGTCCCACTCCTGGATGGGTTTCTTGCCCTCTCCTCAGAAGTAGATAAACTGGCCATGCCCTTTTGAGGATCCTCACTGACCAGAACTACACCAGCAATGTTCCTTGGCAAAGCATTGCTGTATCTCGTGCCAATCTTAGGAAGGGGTTTGTGGCTAAGTATTCAAAGCTGAGATAAACCATTAATTATTCACAGTGGTCTTCATAAATATTGCACAGCATTTTTGCAGTCAAACCCAGCCTCCAGACTGTTTACCATTTCCTTGTTACTGAAAGGTGATGGAAAATGCAAGGGAGTCTAGTAGATCTGTAATAGGCTGAGGTGTGGACAGTGACAATGAG